CGCATCCGTACAGGACGACGGAGCAAGCCTCACCAATGCCACCTCTTCCAGTCATCCTACAGGCGCAGAACCAGATGGAAGGGATAGCGCAAACAAGATCTTATACCTGGGGAGACAGCTTAGGTCGATGACAGCTCGGCAGAAACCTTTACAACATCACCACCCTGGGAAGACAGTCGAGACCGATGGTTAGGGTAAAGACACCGACACAACGGTAAAGGATAATCGGGATGGAGGTCACTGAACTGACCTCAACCTGTAATTTTTTTACCGCAACAAGTGGCAGGATGTTTTATTAACCCTAACCGCTGACCTCTCAAATCCACACTGGACGTTGGTCAATTAACACAGGGATGACCACAAAACTGATGTCAACCCGTCAGCCTCATAAAGTGACACGACCTTTTATGAGCCCTACCTGGCCTACTTCCGCTAACATAAAACGTGTTGTATTTATGTTGTGTCACCTACTGTAAATGCTGTGAGGAAGCCTGACGTAGGCCTGTGCGCTTTTGAAACGTCAGGAAAAGAAAACTGTGGATCGCGCTATCACCTCTACTCTCATATATATATATGTTTTACCATATGGGTGCATTTATAACCCAATGCTCTCCAGGAGACAACGTGGGCCGTGTGCTGGAATGCAATTTTGATTATATTGATATGCCCGTGATATATTTTACCGTTCTTACCTACTCGAAGAGTATGCGAAAACTGCAAATTCATACTTATGTACTGCTTACTGGTGAGGTCCCTTTACCGTCAATGAATAATATACACAGTTTAGCCCAATGCCATCAAACCACCTGAGGTACGGTTGTCTCCTTATTTGCATTACGGACATAAAAAATGCCACAACACTAAACGCACTGGCATAAGATGTGAATTGATAAGGCGATAAGGATAAAAATAGAGTTATGCTTTTCTAAAGTAAAAACTAAGAGTTCCGTCAGGGGAAGTGCACAGGGATTGTAGAATTCGAAGAACGGAACAGATAAATACTTGTCTATATTCAAGTTTTCCATTATGTCTGCATTTCCTTACATGCATTTTATTGCCTTTCTATTTGTATTAGGGGCATGGGAAATGGCACAGCACTCAAAAGTTTTGCACAAAATGTGAATTGAAAACGATATGACAATTGAATCGATCTATGCCTTTCTCAATTAAGAAGTAAAAAGTATATCAGATGAAACACTTATGTATTGCAGAATTTAAGGAATGGAACAGGTTAATAATTGTCTGTATTGTGAGTTTCCATTAAGTTGGCATTTGCTTATACTCTTCGGATGCCTGCGGGTTGCGTGAGGTGTGTGGGTTGCCAGCCCGGCTCGACTTCGTCCACAACCGCAAATGGTGCTTCGTAGGTAGTACCGTCAACCTCGATCTAAAAGGATAAAAAATAAGTCTCTACTTATCTATGTCTCGGGCTCATTACGTTACTGCCAATTTAAGTATACATATATGGACAAAATATGACAGAGGCATCTGCAAGCGCACCAAAAACGCTGGATGTGGAGATCTCACCTTGAGTTTGTAACTACTCTCGAAATCTTGTCTTCTTACAGACGGCAGATCAGCGCGGACTTCTGCCTTTTTCTCGTCGTACGAAACTTTGAAGTCCTTATTGTGGAGTTTGGGAGCGTTAGTTGGCTCGTTGTTGTAGTCGTCTATGACAGAAGCTGACTTTCCGGAACTTTTTGGATTCAGGTTTGGTCTGAGTATCCTTTCGTCGTTGATACCTAGTGGTGGACAGTCGACCTTTTGCACAATAACGGGCGTGGGTACATCCCACTTCGGGTTTTCGTTTTCATGCGTTTGACCGATGGCATAGGCAAAGTCCCCGTCCTTCTTGACGTACTTCTTAGTAATCTGAGGTTAGGTAGAAGAAAGCTATTGTTTACACAAAAGTTGTCAATTATTTTGAACTCAACTGGTAAATAATGGATACGGGTACCGTTTATTTTACCGAAATCATTCAAAACGTTTACATATAATGCTAAGCTACTTTGAGTATTGAGTAGCAGTTTCCTCTTTAAGTAGGAAAGGCATATTTCCTCTTATAGCATTCTAAGCAACTGTGTAAAGAGATCACAAATTTGGAACCATATTCACTTGAACTGCATTTCAGGTAGCAATTACTGAGTACATTGTTCTTCGTTATTTGTTTCAGCTGCAGTCCCAAACAAGCGAAATGTTAACGGTAAGTTAACTCTCGTTGTAATTTTTTTCGAATGTCAGCATTTTTTGCAATTATCAGGTCGGCCAAGTAGTCGTCTATTTTCTTTTCAAGACTATTATTATTATTTCAACTTACCGCCATCTCAACGTTGCCGTCACTATAGCCGAGGCCACCTTGTTCGTTGCCGAGGCTCTTGACAATAATAGTCACTCTATTAGTTCGGACAGTCTTGCCATTAAACTTGACCGCAGCTTCGGCTGAATAGCTGAAAATTGCACACATCAAAAATTGAAATTCAATATTAGTGAACTAAGAAATGAATGAAATGACCATTTCTCACTAACTGGCGTAGTCAGTAAAAGGTATTACGTTGCAGAAAGGATTGAATGTGTTGCCTACATAAACGGTCGACGTATAAACATAGACAGAACTTCGTTGATCCAGCTTGGCTTGCCAGTTTTCTACACTGGTGTTTGCCGAGTGCTCTTAATTCGTGGACGGTAGTGCACTGTGTTGTAGAGTGATACACTTGGCCACAACTTACTTGTTAGTCACAGAAACACCATTCTTTGGTGAGACGTAATTGAAGGTTGGTGTCATGCCTTTGGGCACCTGAATCTCGAATGGAATAGCATGCATTCCCTGTGGCAGAGTAACTCTTCTGGACGTATCCTGTGTTGGCATGACAACGAAATTACTTTGTTGAGCTTGGGCGGCCTGGGGTTTATTTTTGTTATCCAATGGTATTGGGAGTATTTTTGCGTTTGCAGATCGGTATCCGGCCAACTATAATGCAAAAATAAGAACAAATCTAAGGTTAACTTAAAATAGGACAAACAAGAATGACTACAAAATCAGATGTATACATTTTTCCCGAAGCCGAGGCACGTTCCGAAGGTACTGGGGTTTAGGTTTCCCTAAAGTACAGTAGAATCCCTATCTCTTGAAGTATTTACCGAAACTCCGAAGTCTGCTTTCAATTCGAGCAAGTTACCTAAATGGAATCGTGAAACTGATTAATTTGCAGCCCTATCTCTAGACATTTCTTACGGACAACAGGCAAAACCATACCCTGTAGTCTGTATGATTATAACAATCCTTGTAAATTCAAGTTCATCTAACCGAAAGTATGCAATATTCCAAGGCCCTCAAATAGGGTCCTATATTATTAGCAACCATGGGGATGCATCCGTCAGTACCCAAGCGGCGGGGTGCCTCCTACCCTATAAACTGGATATTCAGTCCTGCAGATTACTGTGCTACGTCTGTTTGATAAATTTAGCTCGGAGAAGTTTAAGGATAAAGTAAATACTAAGTCCAGCAATCAAAGAAAGGAAGCAATTCAGAAGGAGACGTTGAATATAAGTTTAGAAACCATGGCATTGGGCGCAGTTTCCCAAACGTGATGAATAGCTGTCATGTCAATTACAAAAGGAAGAAGATGCTTGATGAAACTGTAATAACATATCCCGATTTCTCAAGTAGAAGACAATTATTTCTAACTGGCTTCTAATTTGGAAAACGTTTACGCTTAGATGAGGTACTTTATTGATCAGCTCCGTTTTTTCATGAAACATCAGGTTAGTTCAAGGAATTATTATTGATAAATCAGATAAAGGTCGATGTCCTCGTCTAGTGGATGTCTATTCGCTGGCACATCTCCATTTAATCTTCATATATTTTCGATCAGGGAATCATTTTCTTAAAATAAGCATAGAATGCAACCTTTTTATTTGAATCATGTGAACAAAACGCCGACAACACATTAAACGCCGTGTTGGATTCACTTTCTGCTATATTACTAAGAACAGGATTTTCGCGGTCCGTCTTTCCCACATGTCTCTTCGCCTACCCCATCAAATTGGGTAATACTATTTGGCTGACAAAATATAGCTTAGAAAATAATCGTGTGTCGCAGAGATAGTCCCAGTAGCTGCTTTGCAGCCTGTGAGGGCCTCAGGTTTGCACCAGAGGAGCACTGTGCTCCATTAGGGGTCTTAAGAATGCAAAAAAATAAGGGCAAGAATGGAAATTAACAGAACTTACCGGTACCACAGTTCCGTCTCCTTTCAGCCCTACGATCGTATAGTTGAGGTCAACTATGATCTCATCGAGTCTCGCAGGCGCAGTGAGTTGCATAAAGACACGGCCTGGGAGTTTGCCACCCTGACGCACCTCATTCGTCTTGAATTCGATTCGCACTATATCCACTGATTTTTCAGGTAAAAAATCAATATCGGGAAGGTAACCATCATGGATGGGACAAGGAGTGGTATTGCATGTCAGATAAGTAAAACAACGATTGACTATTTTGTAAAAGAAGAATACGTATGTGCACAAAACAGTAAATGCCCGCGCATTTTGACTAAAGAAAGAACACCTCCCCGATACGCATGAATGATAGCAATTTCTAAGTTTACTTCAGGTGCAGAGTCATATTGCCAACAGAAAGGAGAATGTGTTTAGTCTCTATAATTTACCTGTGTCCTTGTTATTGGCAACCAGAACAGTAGCAGAGGTCATTCTGCCAACTATATGCTATAAGGCGCCCTTACAGGGCTCTCGCTGGATTCTTAATATGATATACTAAGCCAAATCATAAAATGTGTATCAAATCTTTATCTTACAGCATATTTACTATGATGACATTGAATACGAAATTAAAAAGCATGTTGATATTTGCCGCACGATCACATTCAGCTAATGGAAGTATATCTGCAGTAATTTGTTGGACTAGATGGCAGGAATATTTTCCCAGCCACACACAAAAACATATGCGGTAGAAATCAATCGTAGGGCCGCCCAACGACGAAAGTCTCCTAGCCCAAGTTTATGACGGAAGTCATGGTTAAGGGTTCAATGTGGATTACTGAGCAGTTACTGTCTTTTTACTGTGTAAAAAGTGCGTAGTTGGCAACAAGATAAATACGCTTAAAATTGTTTTATTGAAGTAGAAATTGACTTAAAACGTTTGCAAAAAGAACAAAAAGTCATGTGAAAGTCCTTTTGGTTAACAAAACAAGCCTATACGGCAACTCCTATTTCCAATAGGCGGCCTATGCTTTATTCCTATTCACGATATATTTTACTGTATTTCTGCATATTAACGCAGGCACGAGAACTTCTATTGAAATAGATGATGAAAATATGCACACGGTATTACCCTGCGGAATTGGAGGCTTCTAAAATGTAAAGAAAAAAATAGGAAATGAAATTAAAAATCATCCCTCAACATGGAGGCTGGTATAGTTGGCCATAGCATAATGACGATGTTTGCGTGCCCCAACGCATAAAACTGAACCAGTTAGTATAAGTATGTCTGCTGCCTTGAGTGATGACTTTTGCGAACTGGAAACACAGGTGGGCGTTCAGCTAGGGCAAGTACAAAAATTTAAAGCAGCATGTACCACTACTGTCAAACCCTTAATTAACCTGTGCGAAACTATTTGTCAGAGGATAATTTCGCTGGCAGGAAAAAGTGATTGACCTTTGTAGGGCGACGCTTAACACTTGGACTTTACTCAAAAGAAACGAGTTGAATTAGTAGGAGCACTTGCAACCGGTCAATGTATTGTTTTTAGCATAGCTGAACCCCAGCGAAATAACAATAACTACTTAGAAAAAAGTATGATACCGACGATTATGATCGGCGTTCTGAATTAAAATGACTAGGAAATCTATAGCTAACACGTTCTGATATTCGGAAACTGGGATAGTCACTTCATCGAACTGACTATAGTTACCACTAATTACACACCCGTATTTTACTGACAGATCTATGGGTAAGAGTTAACTTTGGATAAACAAAGGCTACGCAATTTAATACAGATTTTTCGTCATATTCCGTGTTGCCGGTTGTGTAGGCAGTTGTTTAGCGGGTTTGCTTAAATCGTTTTTTACATCAAAGAACTGGACAGAATATATGATTAGTTTTTGGAGCCTACACAACCGGTAGAATATCGTTGTGAAAACTTAATAAACACTGGTTTAATTATGTGTACTTTCAACAATTGGCCTAGCTTATGTTTAGTAAATAGTTGATAGCCCGGCGTGACTAGGATCATATAGCAGTATCCTGCGTAATACACATTGCTACTGCAAGACGACAGTAATATCTCTTAATATAAGGTACTTCAGTACATGAACCGTTTTACAAGCCTCTTGCTTGCCGTTGCTGGTTAGAATCCAACAGAGGCCATTAAGTTTTCCGAATTCAGGCACAGTGACCTATTCAACTCAGCCAATATAACAATCTAATCTACACAAGATATATTTATTACGTAATTCCAGTCGTGTTATCATTTTATTGATTAAGAAATGAGCTTTTTTGTCAATAATAGCAGGCTGTGCGGGTAATCCTACTCAAATATGATTAAAATGACGGCTATTGATGGGAGCTAATATTCCCATGGTTTGGCCACTGCCTACATTCCAGCATTATCCTTCCTTTCGCGGGTTTATATCCTACAGACTGCACCTCATTTTCTTCAAATTTAGGTAAGATTTACTTAGAGTTCAGCCATATGAGTGATAAATATGCAACTTTCGGCATATTATACAATTCTCCGGCCAAATTTGACCCATCAAACAGAACTTCCTATAATAATTCTTATGTATTTTGACATTTTACGTTAGCAGATAAACAGGGTGGGAATTATTATATTTGCTGGTATATTTCGGCATATAAAGTGACTTTTTAATTCCTTATCGTAGCCTGAAAAAAATATTGAGTCAAGGCTTTTCTAGGCTTACTTCGAACTTTTATTTAATCTGTCACCCTCAATAAAATTACTAAATAATATTCATATTTTGTAGTTTAGAAATACTGCTGAAAGGGGTGTTGCATTAAAGGCACGACAAACGTTTCGTCTAGCTCCTTTAGCTGTATAAACCAGATTTAAATAGATTGACATAAATCCAGTTTCGCTTTGGATAGAAGCAAAATAAAATTTCCCCAAAAACGACATCGACTTATTTTCCTTGTGCTACCTATCTTTCAATATATAGGTACATTGGAAAAATAAAAAACGAAAAAAGCAAGGAAGATAGGGATCATGATTGCCGTATTTGCCACCATTCATGACTTAACCTACGATCTGTTGGCCAGAGCTCACTTTCAGATATGGCAGACCAATGTCGGCTAAAAAGCTAAGATAGCTATTTCAGTTTCTCTTTTATTTCTGAAGACGTTTTTCTGCCTATAAGAAACAACTATATTGGCATATCTGGTACCCTTAGAGGTTGATATATGTGTCATATAGTATGTATTAACGGCCTGGTGTTTATATGATAAATAATATGAAGTTTTCTCCTCAATGTATGCAACAAATTTCCTGCTACTGTTTTCTGGCTTTATTACGGATCAATGATGCAAACAAATTATATGCGTTCAGGATTGCTCAGCTTTACATTAGCTGCAAATCAAATTGAAGGCCACGTCACTCAGATATTTGCAGCCAGCATCGGTAAATAATACTTTTCCCTGATCTTGGTGTCTATTTTGCAAAGCTGTTTCTATTTTTCGTCTACATTTTAATTATTTGAGACGTTGCAAAAGGCAGTGGTTTTAATCTCATATACTGGAACTCACAACCACATTAAAGAGTCATAGCAAAACCAAAACGTCAACGGCACAGTGTAACTTACCCGTGGATTACTAACCATTGGTAGTTCTCTCGGTAATCTAAAAGCATGGAGAAGTTAATCGTTAGCAACGGCGAAAAAAAAGCCGTGGTTGTTATTTCTCAATTTTTCAATTTGTTAGCTCGATGAAGAGTAAGCACCAGATTTTTATCAACTCTATTTAGAATATTCAGCAAAATATTTTATGAGTTATTATTATTTGTTTTATAACAATAGCTCTGACTTTTTCTATTAGCGTCGTTGTGCCGCTTGCAGCTGTGATCTGTCTAATCAAACTCATCGAAAAAGTGAAATATTTGTCTCATTACTAAAAGGTCGCATATTTTCAGGTGGGGAACTGGTTGTATGCATTCCGTCTTCCAAACGAATGTTCAACCGTTCCCAAATAACAAGAACAACTTTCTCAGGAACCACTAATTCGAAAAAGTCAACATTTAAAATGAGTTTCCTAACGCGACATTTATCCATAAAATAAAATTTAAAACTGCGCTTCGGCATAAAATAATCTTCCCTTCTGAACTGAACTAACTACATGAAGTCCGAAGGCCTTAAGAGTATTTCGTGGTGCCTATTGCGTAATGCATCAGTATTATCAAGTATGAACTGCTAAGATTCGGGGCTACTGACTTATGATTCAACATTTTTTAAAATCTGTGTTGCATCGATGGTAGGTTATATAAAGAAATTATGATATGGAAATATGTCGTTCTTTGCTCGAATAAGATTATAAGGATATATAGGAAAATGTGAAATTCACTAAACCTACTCAGAACTTAAGATCTGACGAGAAGCCGAGGAAAAGTGGGAGTGCAGCTACGGTGGTGTCTTCACACATAAAAGCGCATGAACTCAAGTTGCGAAATTGCGTCATACGCATTGATTTACTTATGCCTATTCTGTATGGTCAGAAGTTACGACTAGTAAGCTGACTCGTTTGATGAGGATTGGTTCGATGTTTAGTTGTGTTTAGTTAGTGCAGGAGGTCTCCACCGCATGTGACTTAGAGACGGTCATCTTTCAAGCAACTTCTTCTCCACTACCTAATAGCCTGTCCTTGAGCAC